CATTATCGTGATATAGCGTATTACCGAATACCGGCACATGTCTAATGCTACATCTGAACAAGCATAAACAAAACACGTCTCTCTTGACAGCAGTTTACTAAAAATTAAAAAAGAAAGAAAGATGTTCAATTGCTAATAATTCTTTCATTGATATTTCATTAATTGTTAGCATCAATGTTTCTTGTTTACAGCCACATGATGGCAAATTGTAGAGTAAATCCTACATTCTGTACACACACAGAATGATAATTTAGGGCAGGGGTATTCAATGAAAGAATTATTTCACTTCCAGAATGAAAATTCTGTCATCATTTACTCACCCTAAAATTGTTCCAAACCTGTATGGATACCTGAGTTTCTTTCTTCTGATGAACACAAAAGAAGATATTTTTTTTTAAATGTTGGTATCCGAACAGTTGATTGGCACCATTGACGTACATAGTAGGGGGAAAAAAATACTGTGTATGTCAATGGTGCCCATCAACTGTTCGGATACCAACATGGGTGACAGAATTTTCATTCTGGAAGTGAAATAATCCTTTAAAGTTCCAAGAGAGGTCAAAAAATGTATATATATATATATATATATATATATAAAGTGAGTGGGTAGCAGTGTGTTCTGAAATGAGGCAAAGTCCTCTTTTTTTTTTTTTTTTATTAAATGCAAAATCTGAATACAACAAACTGGCATTAATTAGTATACAAAAAAGATTCTGGTATGGAAGGCTCAACACAATAGAATCATACTAAGCTCCAGACAAATCATATAATAAAACATTCCAAGAAACATAAAATATAAAATAAAAATAAATTAAATAATAAAAAATACATAATTACAACAAATTATATAATACAAACAAATTAAGTAGTTTTACTGCTTTTGGATTTTTCATTTTACTAAGGGCATCTGAGAAGTATTTTAGATCAATTTTAAATACAATAAACAAAGGAGGGGATTTAAAATATCTACATTTATGTATAAAGTATTTTGCTAATAATATAATATTATTAATCAAATCGTACAAAACAGAGCACTCTTTGGTTATTCCGTACATTACATCTTGTAAGGTTAGAGTGAAACCATCAGCAATCACACCCTTCTCTACCATCCAGTCCTGCAATGCCTTCCAAAAAGACTGCGACAAACTACATGTAAAAAATACATGTTCTGTATCTTCAAGTGGGTAGCAGTGGTGTTCTGAAATGAGGCAAAGTCCTCTTTTTTTTATTTTTTTTATTAAATGCAAATTCATGTCCCAGTCACATTTTCTGTTTTTAAGCATTTTACATTTATTTCAAAATAATAACTTAAGGCAGTAACACTTTAAACAATATATTTTATTTGTGAACTTATGTTCAGCTATTCTTTTTAATAGTTAACTTTTAACCGTTTTTGAATTTTTCAGGTCATCAGTCATAAAAGCTCTGTAAATATTGGTCAGAGATTCAGAGATTTACTTTTAATTTCACCAAGCTTGATTGATTACTCCCTAAAAACTCCCACAGATCATGTTTTATTATATCTAAGTGTGTGGGTTGTTTACTTACTTTTTAAAATGAGTATTCCCATTAACACCATTATATTGGTCATTCAGACTGATTTGCGAATGCACACGAACACAAGAGGCGGGATTTATCGCATGAACCAATCACAGCCGAATATAACCAGTCATATCCAGTCATTTCGCGATGGAGGCATTGCCTCATCTTACGTGACTTTCCCCCATTCATTCTCAATTACCCCCCACCAAACTCACGGCACGGTTTAGGGGGTCTGTTAAAACTCAATGGGCTCAGGGGAGGCGAGAGAGACACGGACTCCTGCTGTAACTTTACCTGCTGGTGTCGCTGTTGGACAATGTTTCTTTAGAAAAACGAGTGATTTATACACTTTTTAATGTTATATTTTGTAATATTGGCGTTCTTTTATTTTTGTATTACAAGATTTTTTTTTTTTTTCTCATCCAGTATTTTGAGGAGGCACTGCCTCCCTTGCCTCCTCGGAGGAAACGCCCCTGATATATGTATGAATAGTTACACATTTCCATCTGGGCACCAGTAATGCTTTGTAAAAGAAAAGAAAAAAAAAAACCTAAACAGTCAAAATATTCATCAAAGATGAGGATATTGGGTCCTCGGAGCCAAAGGCCAGTGGCTTCTGAGAATTTTTCTATTAAAAAAAAAATCATCAGTTGAGCCCATTTAGACATGATTATTAAAATATAAGATCAGATGTTTTAAGCTATTATTATTTTTTACGTTTAGATACATTCGTAAGGCAAAAGGCCATGTGGCGGAAAATACTGTATGGGGGTTCAGAATTTTCCTCTTGAAATCTGGAGTATTTTTATATTTTGCTTAAAACAATCAAAATGCTCTCATCATGAGCAGAAAACAAAGTTAACTGGTAATTTCAATGTTTATGTTGTCTTTCCTTGCCATCTACAAATAAATTTCCCAATTTTAACAATAATGTTTATTTTTAAAATGCTCTGACCATACTGATTAATACTGCTAAATGTAGATAAAAAAAATGTTATGTCTCAAACCTGGTTTGAATGGTCAGAGTATGATAGGTAAAAATAACTATATTTGCAGCATTGTTGTTTTCTGCAGTGTGTTAGCAAAAGTATCGATCTATTTTGCTGCTCACCGTGTTTCTGCTTCTGTTTTTATAGAGAAGCAACGCACACGGGAAGGGCTTGAATGAAGCGTGTTTGGCTCTAGATTAAAAAAATATATATTAGAGGATATAACACAGAAAGATCAATACAATAAACAACCCTGAGCGCTTGTGGTGTGAATCGCTCCACTGTTTTTATTTAGAAATGGTAACATGGTGCTGCCGTTGCCGTTATGTCTCGCGGTTTAGATTACTAAGCAAATGTCTAACTCAAGTAGAAGCAAGTTAACTAAATAGAAATCAAGGTAAATTAATAACAGCATAAGTTTTCCTGTTCAAGTATCTTTTATGTTTACATAAACTGAAATGATCTCTAATTAAAGGTGCTAGAAATCTCATCTAACTCTGTGAACAATATGTAAACAAAACAGTTTTCTGGCATTCTAAACTCAACTGGCATGTGCAAAAATATTACATCTATTGTTACTGTTATTTTGAGCAATATGTTATCTGTGATATTTACAATTATTGAGTCTTATGCTATATATATATATATATATATATATATATATAAACTTTCAACAAAAGATAACCATCAAAGTAAAATTTGCTATTTCGTTAGATTACCTGATACAAACTTCATTTATCATTCAGTAAAGTAATGTTTACCAAGAGTTGTAATATAAAGACACAACTTTATATAATTTATATATAAATTATAATAATTTATAATATAAATACCTATTGGTGCTGTGTACAAATTTAAAACCCATCCATTTTGAGGTCATAAGCAGCAAAAGGAACAAATTAATCTGAATTGTATTTTTTCCTGTGTGTATAACAGAAATATTCAAGTCACTCACAGAATCGGGCCCATAAACAGCGGATAGTGTGAACTATTAATCAATTGTCCATATGATCATTGTGTTTGTTTTGGTAATTATTTCAGATTTCTTGCACCTAAGAGGTTCATTTTCAATTGAGACCTGCCAGGATGGACACGCATCTACTGAAGTGTTTGTTACAAATGTCTTTTTGACATCAGAACATCTGAGAAGCATTCATATTTTTCTTCAGATTTGGGTAGGAATAAGTGGGGAGGGTATGTTCATTGAAAAATGTTTGATTTTTACTTTATTTGCTGGAAATTGTATTATTTTTAGATGTTTGGTTTTAAACATGTTTTATGTGTTGGAATGAATGTGTGTATGGACTGTTATCTAGTTAGAGATTAAAAAACCATGTCTGAATGATTATTGTGATTATTATTTATAAAAAAAATTTGTAATGAATCCATGAATGAACAAACCTTTTCCTGAAGCCGAAAGCAAACCCCTTACTTCGTGAATGTCACTCAGTGGTAGCGCATACAGGAAATAAGTTAAATTGTATAGTGCATTTAATGATTGTTACCTAATGATGATTGGCTTATGTAGCTAGCTACAAAATTTAATGTTGGGCATTGTTAAAATATATATTATATATTACATTTAAAATATTTATGAAATGCTTTTTGCACAAATTTCACAGATTCATGAAAATGAGATGTAGGCTTTGGGGGACTGCCAGCATTTTCCTTCTTTCCAATCAAAATACCAAGGTCTTTGCACCTAAGCATCATGTCCTCACAGTGAACTGCTTGTTCCTCAGATATTTATTCTCCGCACAGTGCTATTGATGTACTATTCTTGTACTGTTCTGCAGGCACATCATAAGTACACATTTTCAAACACTTTCTAATCAAACACACAGTTCACCTCATCAGCTCATCAGTTGATGCTCTGTGTCTGAACCTACTTCTCTACTATCATTGTTTTCATAAAACAGTAGGTGAAAAGTACACGGATGACCTGGTACTATTGCTGACATTCTGAAGTGTGCATCTGATGAACACTTTACTATCCCATGAGGCCACATGAGAGGAATTGTTAATGGAAGTAATGGTAACTACTATAATAATGCAAAGCAAACGCACATCTGTAGAGGTGCAAGTTGAAGGAAAATATCTAATTGAAAGAGAACAACTGCACACTCACTTAAACATAGGCTATTTATTAACCAACGTTTCAGCTAATAGCCTTTGTCAAGGTATGATACCTTGACAAAGGCTGCTGGTCGAAACGTTGGTTAATAAATAGCCTATACTTAAGTGAGTGTGCAGATGTTCTCTTTCAACTACTATAATAATAACATGGCGAGTGTAGTACGTCTGGATTTCATTCATCCAACACACATTCAGACTATATAGAACATACTTATAGAGTATAGAACAGTTGCAAAGTTTGTTCCTCATCAAATGTAGCATCTTCTTCTCAGACAGATATGGGATTTTGGATGTAGCCATGTGCTTATTATGGGAAGATTTCATTCTCTGCAGATCTACCATTGGAGACAGTCATCTTGGACCATGTGCCTTGAAAACCAGTCACGTTACAGCCTAGACATCACTGAATTGCTTTTGAAGTTGTATGACAGCCAGCTGCTCTGCATTGGATTCAGTAATGTTTTTTTTATGGCAAGTTGGAATGTGGATTGATGTATAGTAGGTTTAAATTGCTTGTTTTATCCCCAGTCAATTTAAATTGCAGTTGGTATAAAATAGTGTTAGGTCAAACAAATCTTCTAATTCAAGCTTTGTTACTTGTAAAAATAAAAATAAAGAGTGCAGCAAAAGCTGGCAGTTACTCAAAACCCATACAGATACACTTGTTTGCTTATAAGAGAGAGCATAACCCAAATTTAAAAAAGTGATTAAAAAAACACTCAACACATTATTGGTGTCTGTAATAAATTCTATTGGATCGTCTGAGGTTAGTCTGTGTGTATGTACTGTATTGCGCTGCCAAGAGTCACATTTCTGTATTCTCACTGCATTCATGGTAGAAGTGCTAGCAGGAGCTCCTGGGGTAAGTGTAAACGCTGTTATTTTGCCCTAGATTTTGTTCATTCATGTATTCTCTTTTCTTCACTGCAATAGAAAATGACTGTTGATGCCAAATACACACTCTTTTCATGTCAGATTTTAACCAGGTATGCATCTCACATGACCCGTGAATGCTTTATGGTATCGACGTTGACCATTGGATTCAATCTTTCTCTTAAAGAAGCCAGGATGCTGTTCTCTTTAACTTCCTCTACTGTTTCCGTCTTTGAGTGTTTAAAGAAGAATTTCCTGATCAGGTCTTGCTTGCCTTTTCGCTTCCAAGATGTCCTCTTTCAACCATAAAAATGAAGATTCGTTCATCAAAACCACTTGAGGATATGAGGATATCTTTTTTTTTTTCTTTCATTTTAAATCAGAAGATTGGCGTGATATTTTCCTTCAGCTCACAGCTGTGGTCCGGCCACAGATTTAAGAAGACCTGTTAAAACGTCTGCATTCTTCTGTCTACAGTTATTGGCTTCTTATTGCCACTGTTTTTACTATGTTTGTTCTGGTGTGGCATTCTTTTACTTGGTTTTGAAAATGATTCAGTGAATCATCTGTCCAGTTCATCTGTTGAGTTGAAGAGAATTCTTGGAAAAATCATTTGGCATTGCCAAACCTCTTCTCATTTGTTAGTCATTCTTGTGGAAATCATAATCTCTCCACTTGCCATCGACAAATATTTACCGTTGACTGTACTGTAATAGAAATATGGTTATTTGTATTTCTTCATATATCGTGTTCTTTGTGTGTATGCTTCAATAGTTTTTCATTTTCTATTGCAGTTGAGACCTCACAACATTATAAATGTCTTTAAGTGATATAGATGTTCAATGATTTGTCCAATTTTTTTTTTTTACCTTTATTCAAAAACTGCAAAAATAATTTAGGGTATGAAATACAGAAAGGGAAAATGTGTGTGTTTGTGTCTGTGTATGAGTGCTTTGCAAACATTTGCCTTAGACCGTCAGTGTTAACACGCTAATTTTATCATTGCGCAGCATGAGGAACGCTAGTGGACTGACCGCGGCTGACCTAGCCCATGCCCAGGGCTTTCAAGAGTGCGTTCTATTGCAGTTGAGACCTCACAACATTATAAATGTCTTTAAGTGATATAGATGTTCAATGATTTGTCCAATTTTTTTTTTTTACCTTTATTCAAAAACTGCAAAAATAATTTAGGGTATGAAATACAGAAAGGGAAAATGTGTGTGTTTGTGTCTGTGTATGAGTGCTTTGCAAACATTTGCCTTAGACCGGCAGTGTTAACACGCTAATTTTATCATTGCGCAGCACGAGGAACGCTAGTGGACTGACCGCGGCTGACCTAGCCCATGCCCAGGGCTTTGAAGAGTGTGCCCAACTGCTTTTCAATGCCCAGAACCAGCGGCTCAATCAGCTTAACGGGTTCTCAAACAATGGCTCTGTGTGTTTTGGGGACCGCAAGCTAATCCAAGAACGGAGCATCCTTAATGGGGTTCCCAGCCGAAAAAGGTCTCTTGATTGCATGGAGTCTAATCTAATTAAAAAGGCCAGAACAGATGGTAAGTCTTGACTGAAAATTTAAAGACATTTGTATGATGAACAGTTTTGATACTGCGTTGGGTCGCCACTTGTTAACGTGAACGTGTCATTGCAGATATCGGTTATCAGCCGATGAATGGCGTAAACGGATCCAGCGGAGAAGACCTGATGGAGAACATGCACATGGAGTTTGGCCAAGCACTGAGTACCCCAGGTGGGAACCGACCCTTCAATGGATCCCTGCTTCTGGCTTCCAATGGCTACATCAGTCCAGAGCAGGACCGGGCTGTCCGAATGGAGAGCTCGTCCTCTCCAGTCCACAAAGAGTCAGAGATCTTCACCGTGACCTCAATGCAGATACCATGTCGTTGCACTAACTCCTATGCCTATTTGTAGGAGCCTTTGCCTTGGCTAAATTTAAGCTCTTTTGGTGATGTGTGTCTGGGAGGGAAAATAATTTAATTTGGCACATATCGTATGTATAAAGCATGTGATCATAAGTTGCTCATACCACCCCGTCCTTTTATCTTTTGGTGGTATGAACTTTGTTTTAAACTGTGTTTTGCTCAATAGGAGCAAATGTTGAGTTTTGTTTTTTGCACAATAACTTCCCTGAATGCCATTTTAATTTTTAAATTCTGATTCTAATGCATTCCAAAAGCAATTAAATGATTTAGATGTTTTTCCTTCTCTCTAAAGTAGTTGCGTCATGTAATGAGGCTGTTTTTATGCCCTGAAATCTATACTTGTAAAGTATGTCAGTGTTTTTTTTTTTTATTTCTTAGTACGACACTGATTTTGCAGTGAATTGCATTTGCCCAGCCAAATTTCTGACCTTGAGTTTTGTAACGTTGGATTTTGGTTTAGGAAGTTGGTCAATGCTTTGGCTATGAGTGACCCATATTATGTTCCTGTTAAGTAGCAAAAAAAAAAAAAAAACATGATTCCAGGTTAATGTGTGTGTGTGTGTATATATATATATATATATATATATACACTTGTTGAAAATATAAAATATTGTGCATTTTATTTTCCTTTTTTTAAATTTCTTAAACATTTAATTATCTTGTTCTGCCAAAGCCTATCTTATCATGAATGTATAAAGTACATCTACAGACCTTCGCTGTCAGCTTTCATACGTGTGTTCTTGTAAGGAAGTCTAGGTGCTATTCAGTCACTTCTTTAACCTTTTTGACTAAATTAGGTTGTAGTTCTTTTTTCTTTCTGTTGCCGTTATTGCAGTGTCTGTTGAAGAGGGTCTGTTGTTAGATTTATTGTATCAACAATCAAGTGTTAGTCAGGTTATTGTATGAGGGTAAAAGTATTTTTTCCAGCTAATGTTTTGCATAGCATTTCATATGTAGTGTAGAAAATATTTGCTAAACTAATTAAGTATGATAAGAGCTATGTATTGAGACAAAGGTGATTCTTTGATTACACTGACTTTCTATAAATTAATATAAAAATCATCCTTTCAAACAGAACAAATGGCAGAAAGTTTGCACTGCATATAGATTAACGCATGATTTCCTACTCAGAATTACAAAGGACGTCTTACTATAAGTGCTCATTAAAACACCGGCTATGTGTGACACTGAGATTGAGATAAAAATACTGTTCATGTAAAGTAACAGGATGCCTAAGATGGATGCAAAATGTAATTTCTATACTCATTAAATGTTCTCATTTAACAAACAGCGCTGACTCTTGAATTTGTGCATATGAATAGTTTGTAAGAGCATGTTAGCAAAACTGAAACCACTTGCAAGTGTTCATTTGATACTGTTTTTCATAGATTAAAATGTAGCACACATGTACATCATCAACATGTATTGGTGGTTTACTTCATTAACCTCTGAACTATTTTGCTGCTTTCACACTTAACATAAATGAGATTAAGAATTGGCCTAATCCCTGTTATTTAAATTGAATAAATATTAAATCATAAGGCAAAATGTTTAATGTTGAAGCTAATGTGTGGCAGTGTGCCAGTGCTATGTTTTTGTAGAGCTGAGCAATATGGACTTTAATCTCAGTTTCAAATGTTCAGATTATGTAAACCGAGCTTGATGGGTGATTTTGAAAACCCTAAACTGAACAATTTACAGAATATCTGTTAAATGCCCACAAAAGGATATTAACAATGCAAAATTCAAAACTTATTGGAAATTGTTGTGCAAAACAAAAACATTAAGTTAAGAACGAAGAAGGCATTTTTAACTTTCTTTAATTCATTTATAATTCATGTGTTCTCTTTAACAGCAGGACTCCCATTAAACGGACATTGCCATCTTGTGCAGCACCTCAGTGGAGGTGACCTGATGCACGGGAACGTAAATGGGAAAACAACCAAGGTTGAGAGTGGTGATCATATTGGGAATGTGGGTGTCTCCTCGCATCTTGGTTACTTTGACAATGGCCTTCATTTTGGGCATCATAATGGCTTGGGAGATACGGCTGAGAACATGGAGGACACCAGCAGTCAGATAGAGCACCGCAAGTCAGTCAGTGTAGAGCAGCAGTATGACCACATCACCTTCAACACCATGCACCTCTACCATGGGTGTTAGGACGTCCCGTCCAGACTCGTATGCCTTTATATATCTATATAGAATGTGCTGAATTGCTTTAAGTCCATATCCTTTGAAATGGACACTGTATTTGTATTTGTGTTGTAAAAAAAAAAAAGTGCAATCCTTTTTTGAATTTCTAATTTGGGTCATTTAATTCAGTTGGAGAATCCCAGAGGCTGGTCATTTTTATGCATTTTTTAAGGACGTTTACTGTATCAATTGTGCCTACATAAAATATAATTGTGTATTGGCATCTCTTTCTTACATAGTAGTTAGAGCTGTGTGTGAATAAAATGGTTTGACTGAATCATTTGTATGTTTTTTTAACTCACAATCTCCACCTTATTTATATTTTTCTTGTAGTATGTATCGTAGTGTGTAGTATATAGTAAGGATTGGGTTTTATTGGTTTTACTGACCTGTACATATTTGGTTGTATTTTGTGATCTACCCTCTTCTAAACTACTCCACCCTCTTATAAATTATAAAGTAAAAATATCTAAATGACCTCCTCCTGATTATTATCGAATATATCGTTTAGAAAGTGAATAAAAACTGAACACATACCTGTTATGAAATATCTTTCGGGTCAAAGTGCAATAAGGTCGTCGTTTCTAGCACTTCCCGCCCTTCGCCGCTAGGAGGACACTGACCTCATTCCGCCCACAGAAACGTCCTCCAACTGAGACCGTACCAACGGCTAGAAAATAGGGGGATTTCTGCCATTTACGTAGTCGGAGACGAACATTTCAGGCGAATCATTTAATTATTTATCTTAAACCATAAAGATGTCAAACGAATTGCGGAAATATTAATCATTATGTCTTTAAAAACAAAACATAAAATTGATTTATATACATTTTGATGTTTTGTATTTTCAGTCGCAAATAACCCCCTGTGTGGGACAGATGGTATAGCCGCGTCTCGTGAAAAGACGTATTTTACTCAGAAAGAAATATTAATCATAAGTGTTGTGACATACACAGTTACCTTAGGATTTATTATTAGAGCTCTAAAAATAATCGCTGACGATTTTTTAGTGTAGTTAAAGATGTCTACTCCAGCTAGAAGGCGACTCATGCGAGATTTTAAGCGGTGAGTAGCTGTAAAATGGTAGATGTGTTTGGTTTGGTGGAATAGCTGCTAGCTAGGTTAGTTAGCTTCATATCACCCAGTTCGGTAGCCGATTATTAAACACGATATAAACGATTAAAATACGCCATTTAATAATGTGCTTCTCGCTTTTAGTCTGTCGGTAGTATCACATTGCCTGTTTACATTGTGGGTATTCATAGAAACTCTACATTTATATTAGCTTATGAGCTAGCTGGCTAGTGTGAGCCGGTTGGAGAAGTTATTCAAGCTTGACTTGTCTGAATGTGATTATGATTAAAATTTTAGCCAATATCTTTGTATTTCTAGTAATTTTCATGAGGTAAGCAGAAGCCACACTTTGTCGTGTAATAATCCACGGTTTTGGAAATGAATGAATGTGATTGACACACTGAAATACAGTTATGATTGAGTGGTATGTGGTGGTCCCACAGGCTCCAGGAGGATCCTCCAGCCGGCGTCAGTGGAGCTCCATCTGAGAACAACATCATGGTGTGGAATGCAGTTATATTCGGGTAAGAAGAGAGCAAATCCGACTGATCGAGTCTGCGCCAACCAGCAGCGTGGTGTAGCAGGGTTCCCACGGTCATGGAAAACCTCCAAATATGAGGGGATTATAAAATCGACATTTACAGACCTGTAAATCTTATGGAAATGAATGATATACTTAAATATTATATATTTAAATGCAATGCAATTTAATGTTCAAAGGTTTGGGGTTAGTAAAATTATTGAATAAGTTAATACTTTCATGTAGCAAAGACACAGTGGGGGGAGTGAATAACCAGCACTCTCTTCCACCTTTAATACCACGACTGAGGTGAGACCCTTGAGCAGGACACCGAACCCCCAACTGCTGCCCACTACTGTGTGTGTGTGTGTGTGTGTGTGTGTGTGTGCACTTGGATGGGTTAAATGCAGAGCACAGATTCCCAGTATGGGTCACCATACTTGGCCACACGCACTTCACTTTCACTAATTTCCAACCTCCATTATTCCCCTGGTCGGGTGAACCGTCAGATCTTCCCACAGTCAATGAATGGCTTCAACGGAGTGAGGCCATCTGGAACGAAGCTCACACTCATCTTCAGCAAGCTGTCAGAAGACAGAAAGAACGTGCTGACCGTCATTGACACCCTATCCCCGAATATACTCCTGGACAGTGGGTCTGGCTTTCCACATATGCGACTGAGGTGAGACCCTTGAGCAGGACACCGAACCCCCAACTGCTGCCCACTACTGTGTGTGTGTGTGTGTGTGTGTGTGTGTGTGCACTTGGATGGGTTAATTGCAGAGCACAAATTCTGAGTATGGGACACCATACTTGGGTACACGTCACATCACTTTCACTTTTCACATTAAACTGATCTAAAGTGACATTAAAGACATTTACCCCCGGTTTCACAGCAGGGCTCACAAAATTTCTAAATCCCTGGTAGCCCTTCGGGCAGGCATTCTTCAGATTTTAGTAGCCCAAAAATGCATTGAACTAGCCCGAATAAAAGATATTGTATTTTTTCTTCAAATAACAAGTCAAGAGAGAAGGGGTGCAACGGATCACAAATCTCACGGTTCGGATTATATTACATTATCATATCACATTTTGAGTCACAAATCGGATCATTTTTCAGATGAGCAAATATTTAAAGAACAATTTACTACTTCGATACCACAGCAAAAACTGGTAGCATATAGGGATATAAAGATTCACTCAACTCACGATGTGATATGTGATTCAGACCAAAAGGCTGCACATTACTTTGTGAAAATGTCAAACAATATACTAACTTGAAAATTTAAAACAAATCCCAAATCAAACAAATAAATAATACAAAAAAAAGAAATGTCTCCATGCAAGTAAACTAAGGTTTTGCCTGTGTATTTTAACCACGATCCAAACAAAGATGCTGCATACATGTTATTTAGATTTAAAAATTTTGAAATTTGAAACAAAAACAAAATGGCCTGACTTTAGCTTTGTGATACTATATAAAAAATCTGAACGAAACAAAAACAGCATAGGTTGAATGAGACGCAAATGTCACTCTCTGACAGCAGGTGGCACTTAAACGGCAGGTATATTTATAGGCTGCTGCCCCTTTAAGACCGAATGCACGGATCCAATATAATGATGCACGTGCGATTTCTTTCTCCACTGTTTACGTTCAAGACATGAAAATACTTGCCGAGATAGTTATTTTGAGATAATTTTGCGTGTATGTGTCCGTTCAAGCGAAAGAGGAATCAATTCTGTGTTCGTGCTCTGCCTGAAAGCCGCTCTGTATGTGCGCGCTTTGAGCGTGTATGCGCGCGAGGCCAGCACCGAACTGAATTCTTCATGTGCATGAATGGTTTAAAACGCTTGAATGTTTAAATTGGTAAGACTTAGAAACACGTGTAAATGATAAACTATGATCCGTTTCACCCCTACAATCGAGTGAACAACGCGAATTAATGAAGGGATTTTATTTCACTATTCGAGATAGCCCGTCGTATGGAACGATATTCCGGACAATTTTCAAATAGAATAGCAAATTGTATTTTCAATTGCGTTTTCCATATGTGGACGCATAAATTGTGACATAATCCAAATGCAATTGCAAATCCTGCATTACCGTTTGGAATTTCGCTTTCGCGAACGCACAATGTTACAAAAGATTATTACAAATAAATGCTGTTGTTTTTACACAAAGAACCTCAAAGAATGATTTATCACCGTTTCCACAAAAATATGAATTATGAACTGTTTTCAACATTGATAATAATAAGAAATATTTCTTGAGCACTAATCAGCAAATTAGAATGATTTCTGAAGGATCATGTGACACTTTGCCGTCACAAGAATAAATGTATTATTTAATTGTAATTATTTAACTATTACAGTTTTTACTGTATTCTTGATCAAATAAATGCAGCCTTTGTAAGCATAAGAGACTTTACAAAAGCATTTAAAAAAATCGTACTAACCCCAAACATTTGAAGGGTAGAGTGTGAAAATATACTTTTCATTGTCTACATATTACTCTTTTGTGGGCTTGAATAGAGAAAATTTGTCCCACCAGCTATTCAGTGCTCTAATGCTGCATGTCTATTTGATATCATTGTCAACATGTTGTACCTGAATGTTCCATGTCAGTTTCCTCCTACCTTTGACATTAATATTGCATTTCTCGTTTTTTTTTATTTTTTTAATGCAGTCCAGAGGGAACACCTTTTGAAGATGGTAAGTGTCTATCTGTCGACCTAGACACTAGATTAGATGCATGTGTAAAAAAAAAAAAGAGTGAAATGTGTTTCTTTCATGGAAATTAAAGATATAATGTTGTTTCTATTCTGCACACAAGGTACCTTCAAACTCACAGTTGAATTCACAGAGGAATATCCAAACAAGCCCCCAACTGTGCGGTTTGTCTCAAAAATGTTTCATCCAAATGGTGAGTGATGCTTCTTGTTTGTCTCTGATTAGAAGCTTTGTCAAAAAGAATCTGATCCCAATTCTCTAATACGCTCTCATGTAGTATGTTCCCACACAGAATCTGCTGCTGTTAAATTCATTTGTCATTCATTGTACCTTGCAAGCTTTTATTAAATATTTTGCTCAAATTAGTTTATTAAAGATTTAGCAAAAATATTTCATGCATTTATGCTTGCTTATGCATTTCTTTGACAGTCATAACTTTATTACACTATTTACTCTGAAGATGTTCAGAGTTACCATCAAAGTTACTGTTGTGGTATTTTGTGGTCTGGGAGGAATTGTACAGAATTAGTGAGTGTTGTTTGGTTGCTACATTCTGAAAGGTTATTCATTTTATCATAAAAAGAGTCATGCATGTATTCTTGATTGAATGTAGTGAAAATGTTGTTCTAACTTTTCTCTTGCTGTTTTTCTCAGTGTATGCTGATGGCAGTATCTGCCTAGATATTCTTCAGAATCGGTGGAGTCCAACTTATGATGTTTCTTCTATTCTGACATCAATTCAGGTATGTTAATTAACTGTTTTATAGTCCTTTTTATATTAAACAAAACTGCTTCATGTAGCCTATGGACATTATAGAATCTGAGAATTGCCTAATTTGAATGCTCATATTGATTTTTTTATTTTTTTTTGGTTAAGAGCAGAGGTGGGGGACTTGAGTTACATGACTTGACTCGAGTCGCAAATTTAAGGACTTGTGACTTGCTTGATTAAATAAAGAAAATGACTTGACTTGGACTTGAGATCCAGTGACTTGACTTGACCTTCATGACTCCGCAGGACTTGACTTTATAACAACTCTAATTATTATTATAAATCATTGCGACATAATTTGGTAAACAAAACGCAAGCCACTGAACCAGTGGCAGAAGTGATCAGAGTCTGCACAGTGCGCAGTTCATGACACTGCATGAGCACAGTCAGGAACACGGCGCGCCAAATACAGGGAGCAAGAGAATCTCCCGAGATGTTTGGATAAACACTTCGAAACTGTATGCATTTGCTGTATGCATTTACAAAGCCAGGATGTCACCACTTCAAAAAGGAAAGGTATGCAAGCTTGTTCGTTAGTTGAAAACAGCATTGGTCTTAAAATTCAGCTTAAGGATTTGACCTTCATGACTCCGCAGGACTTGACTTTATAACAACTCTAATTATTATAAATCATTGCGACATAATTTGGTAAACAAAACGCAGCCACTGAACCAGTGGCAGAAGTGATCAGAGTCTGCGCAGTGCGCAGTTCATGACACTGCACAGTCAGGAACACGGTGCGCCAAATACAGGGAGCGAGAATCTCCCGAGATGTTTGGATAAACACTTCGAAACTGTATGCATTTGCTGTATGCATTTACAAAGCCAGGATGTCACCACTTCAAAAAGGAAAGGTATGCAAGCTTGTTCGTTAGTTGAAAACAGCATTGGTCTTAAAATTCAGCTTAAGTCTGTCATTAAATTAAAGTGATTATAAATTATTAATCTTGTGTTTGTAATTAACGACGTCAAACTTTAAATTCATTGGCGTTTGCCTCAAAACAGTGCTTTAGTGTCAAGTATCCCTCTATGTAAATCAATATATGGAATTGTACCACGGAAACCACAGTGTTTTATCGACTAGTGATGTTTCTCTTACACCCAAAATCCAAGATATGTTGTCAAAATGGCTCTAGTATGAGTTTTTATATTTATAACAAACGATATTTAGTAATATTTCCAGCGTGGCTGCCAACAGTTCCGTTCAGCCCACAGCTAAAGAGTTACGCGCGTCTCTAAGCAACACACTGAATACTGAACGAATCCAGGGATTTGAACGAATCAGTTGAGCGTTTCAGTGGCCCATCCTTGCTTGTTCATGAACGAATCAACTGTTTAGAATGAATCAGTTCAATGAACGACGCCAAAGCTAATTAATATTCAGGAGCCAATCCTTTAACGTTTGCCACAGGGTCGTGCAGACGCTGCATATTGTTGCACTTTGAAGACGCTTGGTGGCGTTTGGTAGCAACGCTTCAACAATTTCAGAAGAGCTGGTAAATAGCATTTGAAAAATGGCCTGCATGTTTGTGTTAGTGTTAGGGTTAGGCTTGAATTTAGTGGAATATGGGTTGCAGTTTATGAAAAGACAGGAGAAACCTGGTCTCTAGACTAGTTGGCTTAGCTCATCTTCCAATTATTTGTGTTTGGAGGGTTTAGACAGTTATAGTGTCTTATATTATCTTGTAACATTATATAAACTGGGACTTGTAGCATTCAAATTTATTTATGTATTTATTAGAAGATTGGCTGCATAATATTAACATTACGCATTTGTTCTTTGTTATACTGTGTTTGCTATGGAGATCACTTGACAGCAAAATCTCTAAACATCCTTACAGCATCCTCTGCATACATCAAATGTATAATGTAACAAATGTGTTATTTTGTGTTTCTCCCTTCTTGTCAATCTTCTATTTGAGCTTTATTATTAAATATTTAAAATCAATTACATTCAGAGTAGCCTACTGTCAGTCAATCTAAACACCTGTGAATCCCTGTAGTTTTTAATGTATGTTAACAACTCATTAAGACACATTGAATTTTGTCCTCTCTAAATATCTTTTAGCTGCTTGGATAATTCACAACTTATGCTGAAAGGTGAAAAGGGTAGTTGAGTTCTTCTAACACCAAGACTGCCCTGCAGGGGTCACTTATGTTAAGGCAATGAGGCTCTTAATGTTGTTTATCCTCAGCTTGGTTGTTTACTGGCACATCATGTAGATATCCTTTTCTCTTGAGTGTAGTATTGTGGATTCCTTGTTTCAGTTACAGCCCCGAAGAGAAATCCTAATGAGTTAACCTATATTTTTAACAGTTGTGAATGACCTTTGAAAATGATCAAAGTAGTTATTTGTACATCTGTGTTATTAGCAGTAAAAATGTCAGATGACTAAAATGTCATAATGTGCAAATGAGAGGGGAAACGAATGTAAAGTTCTCCAGAGGCCAGCACAGTCGAGTCTCATTGTCTTCCGTGCTCTGACCCGAGTGGTGTTGTAAAAAATTACCTCTTACACATTTCAGTGTCAATGAAGAATTCAGAGTTTGGACAAATTAGGTTACTTTCCACATTAAGTTAATGTCAAGAATCGAGGTGTAAGCGTACGTGAGGTTTTGCGTAGACACTCTCAAGCTTTTTTCAGGATTCTTCAGGATACTTTTCTTTATAAAAACATCAAAAATCTTACTGATCCCAAACTTTTGAACGGCAGTATAGATAGACAGACAGATAGATAGATAGATAGATAGATAGATAGATAGATAGATAGATGGTAACACTTTATTTTATGGTGTTGTTGCACGTTACATGTACTTGCTATAGTAATAACAATAAATTATGCAAAATTATATGCAACTTATCCTAAACCAAACCCTCGTCCTAACCCTAACCATGTACTATGTAGTTAATGTTACTTAGTACTTAAAAGTATAATTACACTGTAACAAGGACACCATAAAATAACAATATGTATGTAGAGAAAGAGAGAGAGAGAGAGAGAAAGAGAGAGAGAGACAGAGTGATGTGTGTGTGTGTGTGGGTACAGTGGGTATAGAAAATAATCCCCCCCCCCTTTAAAATAACCACATTTTGTTGTTTTGCAGCCTGAAATGTAGAGGGACACGGTTTTTGTTTTATCCAGCTGTATTTACTCAGTGCAACTTATAACATCCAAGTGAAAGATAAAACACCAACATGTCAGAAAAAAATAAATAAATAAAAAAGAGTTGGAAAAAGGATCACCCCCCTCCTAAAAATGACATGTAAACTCAATCAGATGTAGCTAATCACCTTCTCAATGGCACACAAAGCCATTTGACTTTCAACTGTGATCAGCTGTGGTCATTTTGATTAGCTCAGCATGAAAAGAGCTTTCCTGGAGCATTTTAGTCCTTGGTAGTGCAACTGAAACAAACAATCAACTCTGGGTGGCAGGGCACTGTCAAAAGATCTCCGGGATGAAGTTGTGGACAGGTACAAGTCAGGAGATGGATAGAAAAAAATTCAAAGGCTTTATCAATGCCTAGAAGCACAGTTAAGCTTATTATTAAGAAGTTGAAGGTATTTGGTACAACACAGACCCTCCCTGGATCAGGACATCGCTCCAAACTGGATGAAAGAGACAGAAAACTGGTCAGAGAGGCGACCAAGAGGCCTACAGCAACTCTGAAGCAGCTGCAGGAATTTGACAAATGCCCCTTTCACACACACAGTCTTTACTGATAAATTACCAGTAAATTACCATTAAGAGATCATGTGTGAACAGGACCTTTTAAAAAAATACCGGTAAATTCGTTAAGGCAATTTAACGGTGTGAAAGAGGCTAAAGAGTGGTCATTGTGTGCATATGACAACAAAATCACAGATTCTCCACAAATGTGGCCTGTATGGGAGGGTTGCTATAAAAAAGCCACTCCTCAAGAAAGGCCACATGCAGTCACGACTGAGCTTTGCCAAAACACACCTTGAAGATTCTGAGGCAGATGAGACTAAAATTTAATTATTTTGCCTCAACACCGAACGATATGTCTGGCTGAAATCCAATACAGCTCACCATCCAAATAACAGCATTCCTGCAGTAAAGCATGGAGGTGGTAATATCCTGTTCTGGGGTTGTTTCTCTGCAGCACTTGTCCGGATAGAAGGAAAAATGGACAGGGCAAAATACCGTCAAATTCCTGAGGAAAATCTGCTGCCCTCTGCCAGAAACATGTCAATGGGAAGAAGGTTTACCTTCCAACATGACAATGACCCAAAGCACACAGCAAACCTGACCACACAGTGATTGAAGGAGAAAAAGGTGAATGTCCTTGCATGGCCTCGTCAGAGCCCAGACTTAAACCCCATTGAAAATCTGTGGAATGACTTTAAGACTGCAGTCCACAAATACTCACCATCAAATTGAACTGATCTTGAGCAGTTCTGCAAAGAAGAGTGGGCAAATATTGCAAAGTCTAGAGATGTGCAAAGTTAGTAGAGACGGAGACAAATCCCAACAGACTAAAGGCTGTAATTAAAGCTAAAGGTGATTGAACAAAATACTGACACAAGTGGTGCTCCTTTTTCCACCTCAGTGATTCTGTTTTTTATTTATTTATTTTTTTCTGACATGTTGGTGTTAGGATCTTTCACTTGGATGTTATAAATTGTGTGTGTGTAACAAGTAAACCTCTTCTTTTCAATTTACAAGTACATTTGCATGTGTTATGCATATGCAGCCCTTTGTCATAATGCCCAGTTTATCAATATTCCATAATATTTGTAATATTTCAAAATATATATATTTTTTTTTATTTCAATTTTTATTGATATTCTCTTTAACAACTTTTTGTTGTTGTTTTCTAATAGTCATTACTTTTACTTATTTTAGGCTTTTGTATTTACAAGGTGTATATTTCACTTTTTAATTAATAATCTTGCAGTTTTATTAGATTTAGCTTTTATCTGTCCAATGATCAGATCTCAGTGAATCGGAATACCTTTCCTGATAAATATATTAAAATCAAATAAATATATAAAATATAGTAAAAACGTTTTAATTTGCACTTCTATTGTATACATTTTGTAACTTATAATTCAGTCTTTTATCTTATTTTGCAAGCTTATGCTTAATTATTTGTAATATCTTTGTTAAATCTTAATATTTACCATAACATGCTGTTAAATGATTTCAGAAAATGTGTCTATTTTTTCTAGAAGGCTGCCGTGAATTAATGAATCCAGCTTTCCCATGATGTTGTAAACCCATTGTTCAGGCCCTTTCAGTATAAACAATCCTGGACTCGTCTTCGGTGAATCTCATGACCTTCCATAAAGTCACAATGTCCTGGACTACAGTCATTGCTAGCTCACTTTACTAAGTACTATACCACAATCACTTCAGTTTCGTAGGATAATACGCAGTTATGCTCATGGTTCAGACTCAGCTGAACTGGTTTTCAGGCAGTGGGTAATGGGTGCATGGTTTGAAATGTTAGGATGAATGAGTTCGTCAATACAAATTAAATAAAATGCTGATGGTGAGCTACCTGGCAAGTAACGCTGCTACCTGACCTCAGTCTGAACAGATATAATCTCTCTTTCACTCTCTCTTGCAAACACACAATAATGGCTTTGGAATTTATTGCACAAATCACAACAGATTACCATAAATAAAGGGTAACAGAAGACCTGAATAGTTTTTGGAACAGTGTGTTTCATGTATCTCAGTTCCATTCTTATTTCTTTTAGAAAGGATTTGTGGACACACCCCATAATAGAAAAGCAAAAACAGGATTTGTGATAACTTTGCAAATTTAGTATTCAAGTATTCAGACCCTGGACTTGAACCTAATCAAACATCTCTGGAGAGAGCTAATGTCTTTTGATCAGTGGTCCTCATCCAACCTGACTGAGCTTGAGAGGAACAGAATTCACCACTGATCCACTTATGAAATCAATTCTCAATTCCTTTTCATGTACAGTGTGCTCACCTGTAAGATAAAGTGTGCTCTTGTGCTGCACAGAGCCGGACTCAGAGGTGTATGTGGCCACACAGGTGAGCTCACTGATGTTGACATTTTCCGGCAGATATACTTGATTCTCCAGCATAAAAAAACTTGCCAAGCTTCTTGACAGAACTGATGTTGGAGGGAAAGTTCAAGGCAGGTTCCCAATGAAGAGTGGGTGCTTTCTCTTTATATGTGGAATTACAGACAGCAATCCTTCGATTGTTTTCTCTGTACTTGGTGGAAACGTTGATAACTAAAAACAAAGAATTTTAATTGATTTTTTTTTCATCAGTAACACCATTTGCTTCATTTTTAGCTTTACATATTTTTTGTACAGTGAACTGGATTCATCACTGGTTTATCACTACAGTGAAAGTTTGAGAGATGATCAAGTTCTCCGCTAGAAATAAGTTATCAGTTAGTGGCTTTACACCTAGCCTATGATGTAAACCTGTTATGTAAATGCAAAACATTATCATCGTTTTTGCAATAGTTTTACTAAATTGTGTTTGTACTCACCGCTTACAGTCACATTTAGTGCATAGCTTCCTCCTTTATATGATACATCACAAAAGTAAAATCCTTCATCTTCTATTGAAATCTTGGGAATGACTAGGGAAACTCCATCTGAGGTGTTGTACAGCTTCTTTCCATCATTGCATGTGTCGTCCAGCTTGGGTGACAAACCAAGCCAACATGTTCTGTCTTGCTGGCTGATGTTCCAGATGATATAAATTAATTCATTCCATTTGACAACAGTGAGATTGTCACATCGTAAAGTCACATCGCTGCCCGAAATAAAGGTCTGCTCTTGGAAAACTGAAAACAAAATTAGATTAAATATTGATTTGGAGGAAAATTTTGAAACTTTTGGGTGAATATAATATATAATATAATATAAATATAACATTTGGGTATAGTGACACATTTTGATTTTTTTTTTCTCTATACACTAAACGTATCTCTCCCTGCCATGCCAGACTACTTTTATCCTTTGATGTGTCTTTTCCTTTAACCCTAAAATAGTTACAACATACACAGCAGCTCTATTCTGGCAACAGATGTAACACAATTGGCACTTTTCATCAATACAGTTTACTATATAATGTTAATTTTATTTTTTTAAAGCATTAGAAGCACATGTTATTGGGCTATGGGCTATTATCTCCACATGAAAAGCAGCTAGTTTAAAAATCGAATGTATGTAAAATGGTGATTCTATAAAATTCTATAAATAGTTTGACAATGAATGTTTTCTCAATGTTAAGCACTTGCTTTCGCTGACCATTGGTTTAAAAAATGTATTTTATAAGAGTTTGTTCTTTTTTGTACCATATTCATGAAATAGTGCAATGTATTTACATAAATAAATAAATTAATAAAAGTGTATGTTGTCTGACCTGTCAGTTTTTTAACCGCAGAAGCTGGATTCTGATGTGATCCAGTGTCTTGATCTCCTATAGGACAGTTAGTGGCACAGCGTGTTAATAACAGGTTAATGTGAGGCTCAGCACAAAGAAACACAATCATTCACTCGAGTAAGAATTCCAGTTAACTTTAGCTAATTTAAAAAAGGGTAAAACTTTATAATAACTTTAATTTATATCATTAACAAACATTATATAACGCGTAATAGATCTTTAGTTATATATTCAAGAAACGTGAGATAATGTGCTTGTTAATGTTTACTTGTAAACTTATTAAACATTATCTAATGATTAACAGATCATTATTTCATGTAAATTAAAATGCTTACAAATGCTATCAAACTTTCATATGATCATGCACTTCTTGAAAATCAACAAATGATTTTAACAGCTGTTATACAATCATTAAAAGCCTTTGTTTATGCACAAGACTTTTGCTGCTATTGAGGTGTGATATGGGTAAGGTTAGGGATGGGTAGGTTTAAGGTTTGGTTAAAGGGTCAGAAGTGTACAGGGATCAATTTGGTTATTATAAGGGAACAAGTTTCATTCTGTTTAAATTACATTATTTTGATGAATTAACAAGTATTTTCTTGAAAAAAAAAAAGATTTGTTTTCTCCTGTTGATGTATGATTCATGGAATATCCTGTTTAATGATATACGGTAGTATACTTATATAAGTGTTGATGTAATAAAACATGTTTTGCACCCAAATTACAATGTGTGTTATGTATTTTAACTTAACTAACCACCCTTCACACAAACGTTGTTACAGCAGCTAAAAGTCCAATGCACATAAAGACACTAAATGATTAGTAAACATTTATAAACATTTTTAAATAATGAAAAGTTTCTACTTTAGACTGTGTAAAGCAAAAGCAAAAACATGAACAAATAATTAATCAGATTTGTTAAGATGTGTAAGACCAAATATACGACCTTTAGAGACTGTGATTATGAGTTAATGAATAATATGTTAACATGGTTAGTTTGTGAGGTGCTAACAAAATTACTAATTTTTCACAACATTTGTAAATGTAAAAAAGAGCATTGGGTAATATATGAACTGACGTTTAATGACATTTGCTAGCATTCAAAAGGTAATTAACAAATAAGCTTTTTTTTTTTTTTTTTTTTAAACTTCTCCATTTATTGAAAACCAGCTAAAGTCTTCTGTCTCTCTTCAACCATTACAGGACCGAGTGAGGCCTTGCCTTCCCACTGAACGCCCCAAAAGGAGCAGCATTTCCACCATCAGGACCACATGTTGAGTCACAGCAACCACAAGGTGGTTCCCATCAGCAGCAAGCCACCCGTTTGCAAAGGAACAGGATTTATGGAGAGCATCACTGGGTGCAGAAGCAAGAGAGGCCTTCACAATACACGTTATGTAGATATAAGGACTGGATCCTCCCTGGAACATGAAGGCCTCCAGCTGGAACAGGATCTGGTCTTCCTGGGTTCGAGGCATGAAGCGTGAGCTGGAAACCGTAGCCTTGGCATCCACAAGGCACCCATGATTCTCAATGAAGGAATATCTCGGAAGAGCATTCACATCAGGTACTTGGGTGGCCACACAGCTGTCCACAAACACACGCAGTGGGACGTGGTTGTACACCTTCACAGATGCCTCAATATTAATAACATCACCCAGGAAGTACAAGTTTGAAGGCCTCTGATAGGACCAGTCATCCATCATGAGCTTCAGGGTGAACAGCAAGACGTCCTCGCCAACCTCCGTTGAGGCATAAGGGACCCAAGTTGGCCTCAAAGCATTACTGCTTACATTATAGAACCTTTGATAGTGGCATTGAACACCAACAACTGCACCATTGGTACGGGGAGTCACGGGTTGCCTCAACTGGAAGTCCACCACCAACTCACTTTGCACCTCTGGAACAATGGGAAACCTCCAGTCTAAAGGCTTGACTGGACCCTGCAACAGCTGCTTCTCCTGAAAACCAAGAGGCTCTTGCACAAATCCTCTGGAGTCCAGACTCTGAAACTGAGAAGCCTTTTTCAAAGGACTCAAGACCCCATGAGAAGAAAGAGCAGGACCTCTGGAAGCTGGATCTGATTGCGGCTTCATGCTCCTTGGACTTTGACTGTACATCAAACTTCCACATGCATTCTTCAGGTCAAACGCCACAATCACAGCCACCACCACTAACACACCTTGCAAGATGCCCATCCTGACCAACTTTGACTCAATACCCACCAGTGCTTGGCTTTGCCATTAAGTACAGCTTTGAATTTAGGGAATTTAGGTCCTTTCAGCTTAATTGATTACCTTTGATTCTCCTCTGGCCTTGTAGAGTTTATGCATTAGATGCATTAGGAGTTCTAGCAGTGCTTCTCAAAGTCCGGACTCAGGACCGGATCCGGACCCGGAGGGAATTCAATCCGGACCCGCCTCCATTTCGTATTTTAATTCGTACATTAACACTAATTGTGTGTAATGGATTAAAAGTGTAGATTTCCTACTTTGATAAATGCATGTTAAACTTGTAAATCATTTGTTTAGTTTTTAATGTGTTTTTGGAGATAGTCCGAAATTAAAGCGAAGACGAGTTATTAAAAGTTTTCCTGCGTGACATTGTTGTCATGACATTCAGTGAGCGTATGACGTTTGACGTAATCGCTCGGGGTAATCGGGCAACACTTCACCTTGACCGCAGTGAGCGTTTGCTGTGAGGATGTCCATTACGAGGAAAAGAAAAGTTGACGAAGAAAATAGAGTTTTCAAAGATGATTGGACAGAGAGGTACACATTCATTTTGCTCAAATCCAGCACGAAGCCGTTCTGTTTGATTTGTAATGACACAGTTGGAGTTATGAAGAGTGGAAATGTCAAACCGCACTATGAAACAAAGCACAGACATTTTGAAAGGCAATATCCACAAAATACAGAGGTGAGGACAGCAAAACTACGACAGCTAAAGTCTTCGTATGAATCATCAAACAAGTTGCTTGTGAGAGCTCTGACACAGCAAGAAAGAGCTACAGAAGCATCTTTTCGGGTGGCCTGGGTACTAGGCAAAAACAAGAAGCCATTCTCTGATGCAGAGATAGTTAAAGAGTGTTTAGTGGAGATAGCAGAGGCTTTGTTTGAGAGAAAGGAGAGACAGGAGATGTCAGAGAAATTAAAGAAAATTCCACTATCCAATGACACTTCAACCAGGAGAACAGAAGTACTTGCCCATGACTTAGTTAAGCAGTTAACTGATGATATCAAAGATGCACCCTGCCTTTCACTTGCGGTGGATGAGTCTACAGATTGCACAGACCAAGCCCAGCTATGTGTGTTTGTCAGATACTTCAGCAAGGCAAAGGGGACATTCTGTGAAGACTTTCTGGGCCTTACTCCACTCTGTCACACTAGAGGAGAAGACATCTATGACGCTATCATGCAGATGCTTAATGAAAGGGGAATTGATGTCAAGAATGTTGTGTCCATCGCTACTGATGGTGCTCCAGCCATGATAGGGAAGGAGAAGGGAGCTGTTCAACGGCTGAAAGAGGAGCACTCAGACCTGCTGACATACCACTGTATAATAAACCAGTCAATGCTGTGTGCAAGCCTTGGAAAAATTCAGACGTCATGGAAACTATTATGAAGCTTGTGAACTACCTGAGAGCATCTTCTGCCCTTCAGCACTGTCTTCTGAGGGCATTCCTGACTGAGGTGAGAATTAAATTTACTTTTTACTTCTACTGTATTTTTGTTTAGGTGGGTCAATGGGGGATTATTAAGTGGTGACCACACACACACACACACAGCGAGAGAGAGACTGCACACATAAAAAATATTGCTTCAGAGGCAAAGCATTTAAATCTTTAACAATTTTAATCAATGGGGAAACTAAGGCACAAATTAATGCTCATACAGGTCAACCCTTATTTCACATATGTTTTTTTTATGTATATAATCATTTTCAATTGTAAATAAAATGTAGGAGAAATGTATAATATGCATTTGGAAGTATTAACAGTTGTCATCAAAATCTACTTACAACAGATTAAAACCATTTACATTTACAGCATTTACAAGGTGTTTGTTTTCACAAAAACAAAAAAATCATGTATTTATTTATTTTTATCTTTTTTCTTCCTCTTACCAGGTAAATGCTTCTTATGATGACTTACTCCTCCATAACAATGTGAGATGGCTGAGTAAGGGAAGAGTCTTGGAGAGGTTTTGGGTCATCAGGAAAGATTTGGAGATGTTTTTGTCCCAGCAGAAGAATGTCAAAGTCAGGCATTGCTTGGATTTTCTGAGGAATGATGACAGCATGGAGCGTGTGGCCTTTTTAGTGGACATAACATCTCATCTAAATTAACCGAATCTGAGGCTCCAGGGCCAAGGTAACACTGTGTGTGATCTGATGGCAGCAGTACGCTCCTTTGAAAGGCGGCTGGAGATCTTTAAGAGTGATATCACAGGGCCACATATCCACTTTCCAACTCTTCTCCAGCAGACTAATGGCAATCACCATCATCACCATCTTTCCTTTTTGGAGAATCTAGCTGAAAATTTCAGGGAGCGCTTTGAGGGCTTCAATGTTGGCAGACAAGTACTGCTCTGCATTCCATCTCCATTCCTGGTCAAGAATGTGGAGGAGTTTTCAAAAGAAACCAAGAGCATCTTCCCATGGGCAAGCATGGCATTTCTGCAGATTGAACTAATTGACTTGCAGGAAAATGTGGCTTTATGGGAAGTGGACTGTGACACTGTTACCTTTTGGACTAAAATGGTCACAGCTGAAAATTTCCCTAACCTACAGAAAGTAGCCATCTGTGTTCTTACCATGTTTGGATCGACGTATCAGTGAAAGTCTGCATTCTCAGCCATGAATGTTGTGAAGAACTCAAACCGCAGCAGCTTGACTAATGAACATTTAGGCTAGTGTCTTCGTCTAGCAACCACACCTTTTGTGCCACGGTTTAGGCAGCTGATGGAAGACAGACAGTGCCATTTCTCACATTAGACTGCTCTGTATTTTGCACCATGCTACTTTTGACCTACTTGTTGTTTTGTTCAATTTAATGCTGACTCTTAAATTCATTGCTTTGCTACTTTTGCAGTTGTTACCAATGTATTTTGAAGGCAAAAGGCATGTTATTTTTTTCAATAAAATGAGTGTTGATTTGTAATGGATGTTATGCATGTTCATGACCTTTGACATTGATGAAAATTCAGATTTGGACCTTTGAAAGTAGACTTTGAGAACCCCTGTTCTAGAGTGTCACTAGCCGGTAGAAGGTTTGATATGGATCTGAGGTTTTCATCTACACTCATGTCGTGGCCCAAATAGAGGCTTGTCGCAAATTATTTTTGTCCAAAAAATACTCTGTTGTGTGGTGTCATTATGATTATTTAACTGCTCCCGATTGAGACGGAGTGTCCCTGAACGCAAATCGTAAATATCAAACTCTTGATCAGGCTGCATCTGACGTGATTCCCACAAAAGTCAATGAGAGTGAGCAAGCGTCAATTTACAGAATGTTGCATGCTTCTATAGTTGAAATTTGGCAGCCACAAATATGCCACGAAAGCAGAGTACTGTCAAAGAACATCACCCATATTCTTTTTTTCTATTTTGTTTTTCACCGTACAACAGAACGTGTGCTAGGAGAGCCAGCTGACGATTAACCTCCATGTGTTCTTCTTGAGTCTCGTTTGATCTTGTGAGTCTTCGTCTCACTGTGAAATCATTCCTACAATCAACAAGTGTGTGGTCTTGCGGTCTGTTCAAATCATCTTGTGCGCGTTCAGGGGATTATAAGGCTAAAAATCAGTTGAAACTGTCTTCATGTCTGTGGTCTCCCATGGTTTTAAAATCAGTTAAATTATAAAAATCATCTAGTGTCCCAAGCCCAAGATCACACACACAAAAACTACTCATATAAAAAATTAAGAGTTTAGTTCATTATTGGAACGGATTTGGAAAAATTTAACATTACATCAATCACAGCCACCACCACTAACACACCTTGCAAGATGCCCATCCTGACAAACTTTGACTAACAAATAAGCTTTTAATCATTGTATAATTTTACTTAAAGTCATTTGTAGATTTTTTTTTTTTTAAAGTGCATGATCATATGAATTGAAAGTATAACGACATTTGTAAGGATTAACTAATGATCTGTTAAGCATTATATCATGTTTGTTAATGATCTATTAATGAAGCTTTTAATATACTGTAAACATCTGTCAAAATCATTTGAAGATTTTCAAAAAGTGCATGATCATATGAGTTGAAAGTTTATTGACATTTGTAAGCATTTCCATTTACATGAAATAATGATCTGTTAATCAGGTAATAAATATTAACAAGCACATTATCTCATATTTCTAGCTATGTGAATATATATATATATATATACACACACACACACACATACACTAATGATCTGTTAAACATGATATAATGTTTGTTAATGGTTTATTAATGAAAGTTATTATAAAGTGTTAACAATTAAGAGTATTTAAACTAACCTTTTGTTTGACTTCCTGCCACAAAGATGCTTAGGAGGACGACCACCATCAATGTCTTATTGTTCACCATCGCTGCAAATCTCAAGTCAGATTTCTCTTCTCTCACCTTTAAATGTACTCTTTCCCTGGTCTGTGTTATCCTACCTGTTGTTTCATTTAACAGTAAAGCTGTTGTACACTTTTATATATATTTTTTAATCAGTTTTATCAGTTCTTAATCTTATCCCACACGAAAATGCTGACTTCCTGTCTTGTTAACCACAGCTGTAATGTGAGAGCATTTTCTTAGTGTGAGAAGATTGCAGTTTGGCAGTGTGTGATTTGCTGATGGGGATATTTGTTGGTTAATTTTGTTGTTTTATCTACCTGGCAGAATGATGAGACTAACGTAAAGTGCAATTTTGATCAGTTTAATTTAGAGTGCATTCAGAAAGTTAAAAACTTTTTAACTTTTCACATTTTATTAAAAAGGTTAAACTAAAATAGCACATTATCACCCTTTGCTATGACACTTGAAATTTAGTTCAGGTGCATCCCATTTCTCTGGATCATCTTGTACACTTTGATTGGAGTCCATCTTCTGCAAATTGACAACTGGACATGATTTGGAAAGCACACGTGTCCATATAAGTACTAACCGCTTAAAATGCAAATCAGAGCAAAAACAAAGCCATTAAGTCAAAGGAACTGCGTGGAGACCTCAGAGACAGGATTGTGTCAAGAGCTGGAGAAGACTACAAAACAATTTCTGATACATTGAAGGTTCCCAAGAGAACAGTGGCCTCATTATTCTTAAATGGACGAAGTTTGAAACAACCAGGACTCTTCTTAGAGCTGTTCGTCCAGCTGAACTAAGCAAGCAGGGAAGATGTATTCACGCTTGTAGTTTGGCTCTCTTGATTCTTTTGGTCTGGACCAAAAAAAGAAAAGTATACATTTAAGATACTGGTTCGCTTAGCATTCACACTGGTCATTTTTAACATCAAACCTAAAGATACAAAAGAAATGGCAAAAGGATATGACGTATAAGGATATTACTTTTATGACGTATATTTTGAGACACAGCTTACTGAACAAAACTGTTGTGTGCTCGGCTAAATGCACTCATTGTATGTGTGTATGCTGCTGAGAACTCTGGAGAGTTTATGTATGTCATGTAAAAATGTGTAAAGGAGTCAAAACAGCTCAAGGAATTCCTCCATTGCACATGGAAAAGGTGAGTCTCGGTCCGCTTGTTTTTTACCCATCAAGGTTCAAATGGGAGCGTCCACACTTACTTAAATGAACTGCACTAACAGAGCAGTTGCACAAGAGTTCGTCTTAATTGAACCAACCTGCCAAGTGTGAACACACCAATTGAAAGGGAGGTGACCAAAAACCCCAGGGTCACTCTGGTTAAGCTCCAAAGAGTATGTGTGGAGTTGCTAAAATTTTGAAACTTGTAGAAGTACAACCATCACCAGTCTGGGCTTTGCATTCATCACCTGCACAACATCATCCCAATGATGAAGCATGATGGTGGCATGAGCTCAGGACCTCAGACTGGGGACAATGACCCTAAACAACTCTGTGAATGTCCTTCAGTGAGCCAGCCAGAGCCTGGGCTTATAAGCCCAAACAAACATCTCTGAAGAGATCTGAAAATGGCTGACAAAGTTTGAGAGGATCTGCAATGTAGAATGGAAGAAAATCCCCATAATACCCCCAAAAAACATGAGGTTGCCTCACTGCCAAGGGTGCGTCAACTGGGATCTGAATACCTATGCAATGGCATATTTAAGTTAATTCTTTTTAAAGGGGTCATATGATGTTGCTAAAAAGAACATTATGTTGTGTATTTGGTGTAATGCAATGTTTATGCGGGTTAAGGTTAAAAAAACACATTATTTTCCACATAATGTACATTATTGTTGCTCCTCTATGCCCCACCTTTCTGAAACGTGTCGATTTTTACAAAGCTCATCGGTCTGAAAAGCGAGGTGTGCTCTGATTGGCCAGCTATCTAGTGCGTTGTGATTGGCCGAATACCTCAAGCGTGTGACGGAAATGTTATGCCTCTTACTATACTGTGATACCATCTCCCAGCACGATGAGACAAAACCAATAAAACCCATTACAAACTAGGCATTTGTTGCATACAGTTAAACTGAAAGTTATCACAAATCTGGTTTTGCTTTGTAATTATGGAAAATGGAATGTAGATAGATATTAAGAAAATGAAAGCGGTGCTTTTAAACCTGTCCCGGAGACCCTCTTTCACTGCACATTTTGGACTCATCAGCTCAGCATTTTAGCATTTTAAAATTATTCAATTTCATTATTTTCTGAATGCACTGTATTTCCTGTCCCCTTCTGCTTGGCTCTGATCCCAGTCTGCTTTCCAGAGCTCTGCTGTTATCTTAACCAGAGGAATGTGGGCTTGTACGCTATCAGTTGGTAAACATCACACTGTTTTTAGCTCTCCCCCCTACCTCGTCTCTGTTTGTCTAGGTCACTCAGACTGACCATGGGGGGGTTGTGGGCGTCATTGCAGTTGCGTCAGAAATGACCAGGTCCTACAGTGACACAAGAGAGCAATCAATACAAATGCTTTGACACCAGCTCACCTCCTGGAAAGAAAAGAAAGAGCAGTGGTAGGCTTTCAAACTGGCGTCAGGAGGTGTGTGTCTAGCCTCAATGTGAGATCTACAAATGCATTTTTTCATGATCCATGAGTCAGGTCTGTGAGAGCTGGGATGACGAAAGGCGATGACGCAGAGGTTAGGTATCGTGCACTAACAGTACTTTTACAGGATTTATTATTAGAGCTTAAAGGAGACATATTATGCCCCTTTTTACAATATGTAATATAAGTCTCTGGTGTCCCCAGAATGTGTCTGTGAAGTTTCAGCTCAAAATACTCCACAGATCATTTATTGTAACATTTTGAAAATGCCTATTTGGAGTGGAAGCAGAAACACACTGTTTTTCGGGCCTGTTTCTTTAAATGCAAATGAGCTGCTGCTCCCCGCCCCCTTTTCCAGAATAGAGCTCCACCATTATAGCTCGGACCTGCTAAAAACATCTGTTTTAGTTCTGATTATCATGTTTATCGCACTGAAATCATGCGTATTAAAACCATATGATTTTAAACTTCTGATATATGGTTTTCTGAGTGCACACATCCGAAGCATACGGACAGAAAGCGGCTGTCATAGCCAGGTCATCTCCTCTGAGGCTGGGACTCTAAACAGTGTTCTGTGCTCATCTGTGCAGTCAAAGACAGAACAGTTAGCATGTTTTGCTCAAACTTTCGCCATGGCATTAGAACTGGTACACCGCTGATCACCGAACACTGAAATCAAAATGACAGCGCCGTGGGTGTAAACTTACAGATTAAGGGGCGGTAATATTATAATGAGATCCTTTTGCCACGTCACCAAGGGAGCGAAATCGGACGCGCTCGTTTTCTTGTTTTACCAAAACAAAGTTACTGAGTTAATCTTTTTCACGTTGCCTTGGTTGGTAGATGCACCGGGGACCTGATTATAGCACTTAAAACCTGGAAAAGTCAGATTTTCATGATATGTCACCTTTAATGTTCATTAGTATTGTTCATT